GCCCACAGCCTCCAGCCACTCCACTTCCTCTGCTGTTCCCAGCTCTGAGGCTCCGCTGAATTTGGGTTGCCTACTCCACATCCCATAAACACAATTTAAAAAAAGCCTCTTCCCAATGCCCAGTTTAAATATTTGATTCTTTTTACTTTCAGCACAGACGACCATGCAAACTCCTGGACACAGCATGACGCTAACATTAGCGCAACCTCCTGGCAGCTTCTAGTGCCTCCGCAATACAACTTCCACCAAAGCCATCATGCGAGAACCAAGTGTCTCTGCTTCACTCAACTGCTAGGAAAGGGCAGCAGGGCAGCGCATCAGACATTTGTCTGCTTGACGTGATTACATACAGGAGGTGTAGGATGGAAAACCATGCTGCCATGTCACAGATTTAAAGTTCAAAGTAATATCCGGAAGAAATAAAATGAATGGTATCCATATTTTATGTTGAACGTTTTGGTACTGAAATTTCTAATCAACATGAATGGGAGAGAGGTAGCCTGTTTTGAGGAGAGCTTGTTCTTTACGTTCGTCTGTCTTACTTCTGCCTGGAAGGAGCATCATGGAATGACCTCAGATTACTGTGTCGTTGTACCCTGCCACCCCACATGCATACACGTGTGATGTGCCAGAAAGAACTATAAAAGCTCAGAGGAAAACTGAAAAGTGTCTGCTGTGTTTGGTTGCTTGGACAAAATAGATTTGAGCAAGTTCAATTTACTCATTGTGTGGCATCACAGAGAAAGATCCTCACATGACTTAGATTTGGTTGGCTTCCCCTTGTGTAGCATTACTGAAACGCCTACCCATTGAAGCTCTCTGCTCCTCTGAAGGTTTACGTGAGGGGATAATCTACGTTTTAGAAATTATTTTTCCATTGGTATTTACCAACAGAATACATCACTGCACTTGATTTTTAATAGCAATAGACTATAACCTCTTTTATAAATACTTCAGGATTTGTGCACTTGCACAAGATTAGTTTAAGCTGTACGCACAAAAGAAATTTTAGAAGGCTTATCATCTTTCATGCTTTCACCAAACAGTGTTATGTTGATGCAGGCTTCCTTCCTAATGCTGCTCCCTGCTGAAACGATTTACACCCAGGAAGGCAATCCATACCTACTTTATTCAGTACTTTCCACCAGTCTGATCTCCAAACAACCACTTCACTACTGGGATTTATGCAGCACAGCTAGAACTAGAACAAGAAAAACAGGCTCGACCAAGATGCACGGTGCTTACTATTCTTCATTCTTGTCAAAACGACTTGGGCAATTTTATAAGCCACTTCTCTCACATGGCACCAGCCTTATCTTTGACATAGCTTTTCTTCTGCAATGGCAAACACTACTAGTACTAAACACACTTCATATTAAAAAATCCCCAGTAAAAGGCATTTGTGTACACAGCTGCAATTCGGAAGCATTTTTAAGTTGTTTGTAGCTCACACACACGAACACTCTGTAAAAGTTAGGAAGAGCATTTTTCTGCAAATGCTGTCTTTCAGATCCAGATTTTTTGCTTTTGCTACTACTTTCTCTTAGTCTAGGCAGCGACCTAACAGTCTCCAAATCCGTGTTCCTAACCTAGCGCTACTGTAAAACTGTTCCCTTCTCTATTACTTCCTAGGGGACATTTTAGGAAGAGAATAAAAAGTTTGTTACCTCAATTTATCTTAATAGATCTAAAAATAGTTACTGATTCAAAGACACTGATACTGTAATGCTGAAAATCTACCCTGCAAAGAAGAGTTGACCAAACTCCCAACCCTCAGGAGACCTGATATTCTTCCTCTGCTGCATTAGCACAACAAGAACTGTGGTTGGGTCTTTGATATAGCTAAGGGGCAATCTGCACACAAAGGGGGAAGAAAAGAAACAACGTACAGCAGCAGTTCGGAAAGGCTATTAACTCAGTTGTGAACACCTACAGAAAAATCAGTTTTTGCAGGATTAGGTCCTAGTTCTTTACTAGGACCTGAAAACCAGACACTTAATCCACTAAGCCGTGCTGCAATCAGTGAGATCCCACATGTCAGGATAGGGCATGGAAAACTTCTGAACGGATTTATGCCATTTATGGAACATTTAGAGAGTTGGGCTAGGGGGGTTTCTCGCCTAAAGTCAACTAAGCAGACTTTCAGTGACGCTTAACAAAACATAAAACAAAAGTGGTATCAAAAAGCCCTCCAGCAGGCAAAAGGCCCAAATGAAAAATATGCTTCTGAAAGCTAGAAAATATATAGAATGGAATTGTAGTTGATACTTGTTAACACATCTAATCATCTGCAAACATTTGTTTAAAGATTATCTAGTCACTATAAAAGGGCTTAATCTGTATTGTGTATTTTAACCTTCATTACACAAGGAGATATAGCTAAAATATTGCTAAAAGACTATATGCATCAAAAAAATAAAAAATTAGTAAAATACATTTCTTCTTGCAAATTCATTCATCATATGCAATTTTAGGCCTATATCCACCACACAAATGATTATCTTTAGCTCTCTAAAAGAACTAATAGCAACTCCATAGTGAAACAAATCCAGTTGCTTGCAAATAGCTTCATTACTTAAAAGACCAAAAGCATCCTGCCACCATGTGATATGACTAGCTTTGATTTGTCCACTCATATAGCCTTCAGAAAAAAATTACTGACCTGCTTAGGGTTTTTTTGGGCTCAAACCGTATTTGAACACATTAACAATCAAAGTTAAACAATGCAAGTCTTGCAACAAAACACTGATCAACAATTTACTCTATTAATCATATTAACTCTAAGGAAACATACAGACATATTTTATTTTGTATCTTACAAAAGGGAAATAAGTTAAACAACTATTCCATTTATAAGATAGAATGATTAAACGTGAAATTTCAGCACATTTGAGCATTTCCTACTGGTGAGGATGGAGTCAGCAAATAAACAGATTCTGAGAAAGTTAGAAGCCTCGGGATATTCCTGAGGAAAGACAGATCTCAGACAATTTTTGTCATCATCTGTTGAGCTTTAGTCATGTAATTTCTTCTGAATTGTTTGAACAGTTTCTGTACCTAACACAAACATAACTGAACAACAATGAAATATGTTCACATAAGTGTTGCCAATGAACTATCTACTCGCAAAAGTAAGAAAAAAAGTACATAAATGTTGTGCCCAAGTTGCATATCCAAAATTTTCTTCCATCTGTGCTGTATTTGTAAAATCCTCATTAGCATATGTGAGCAGAAACTCAGCCACAGAAACCCTCAATCTACGTCGGCAACCGCCCGTTTTCCACAGTACCAACCCAGATTACGATTGCATTGTGCCAGGGAAACGCACGGTGCTGGTTTCCACGCCGGAGTGCAAAGAGCCAGCAGTTGTGGCATCTTCCACCTTTGCATAGTTCTAGGCTCATTCTTAAACACTAAGAGGAGAAGAAGGAATAGCAAGATAGAGACTTTCATTGCTTTACATTCATCCTTGCAGTTGTGTCATCCTGCCATCACATACCTCTCAGAATATATGAAAATGTACACATCTTTAATTTCTACATGAGGCACTTATAGAAAACAGCGTAATAGAGCTATAGCTAGGCACATTACAGACTGAACGAAGGCACGGAATAAAATTTTCAAAAGGTATGTGAAAGACTTAGATGCAAACTCCTATTAATTTTCATGGGAATTGTCTGGTCAAAAGCGTTCTGCATGATAACGGTCACGATAATCCTCTAGGCACGGTTGCTCATACCAAGAGATATTACAGTCTATTGTTAGGGGAGGAATATTAATGCAATTCGTAGCTACTTCTCAATCAGCAGTTTGTTACTCACTGCACGCTAGATTTGAAATCAACATCTTTCGGTAAGGCAAATGAAATATTGAAATGGAAGTTAACTTCTTGAGTAATATATTTGATTCATTGCAATGAAAATAATTTCATGATAAATGAAGTGAACTTTTGCAATTATAAAGCCACACTTTTTACGCAGTAAAACAACATGTTACATTAATGTACCTAAAGAAATAAGACTGAAGCTTCCATCATGAGTAATTATTAGATTTTTATTATGGCTTAATAAAAGAATATTGTTATACAAGCACTGAATATCCTATAATCCTAATTAAGGCTCTATTCACTAATGAAAGTATTTTTTACGCGTAAGCTTTAAAGCCAGGATGCAAAATGAACAGTATACTGAAATAAGCTATTGTTTGACTAAGTATTAACTATATACTGTTATTCAGTAAGATCTGAAGAGCTAATGTAATTTGCTATTGTTCAGTGATTTAACTAAAGAAAAAAAGGCAGCTCTCAGATTTTAACATGTTTCTGATTCCATTAATATTTGACACGAGGAAGGAGTGTGTAATTTAAGATATCTAAGCGAGCACCCTCTGTCAGGAGCACCCTTTTTCATAAGGCTGTGAACAATGGAAACCCTCTGAGCATCACCGCTGAGTGAGCACTTCCATTAATTTACTTTGACTTTTATTATTTCGGTGAGAAGACATTAAATATGTGGATTTTCTGACCTCACCATATCGACTGCTCACGACATTGAAAAAAAATCAAAACCCCAGCAACAGCCCAATTTCTCTGATCCTAACGCCATCATAGAATCATTGGGGAAAACACAGCCCCTTCGGCAAGCAGCTGTAAGCAAGTATAGTCGTCGTCACGCGCAAAAGGGATATCCGTTGTAATGTCAGGAGCGAGGCCTCAGGAACAAGCAACAAAGGAAAGGACCCTTTTCAGACTGCAGTAACAATTAGCATCTGATACCATAGCACGTTTGGCAACAGCGAGGCTATCTGGCACTGCAGGAGACATTAAAAGATTTACAGGACTTGGTTTTATGTGCGTGGGAATACCAGATCAAAGCAGGGAGGGAGCTGCACAATTTGCACTTATTTGGAGTTCTGAAAATAAAGCCATTGTAGAAAAGGGAATCATTAAAAACATTACTGGAGATGCAAAGGAGATACAGCTGATGGAAATCTCTACTCACCCATCACCGACAGCTCTGCAGAACCACTGCTGTTCTCATTTTTGTAGGAGACGACACAAGTGTATGTCCCAGAATCGTCATCAGTCACATTAGAAATGAGTAAGTTACTGCCAGCCAGTAAAGAATACTTTCTGGACCTGAAACATTGATAACATATGTCCAGAGTATGTTAAGATGGTATCTCCCTCTCCTTCTAGAGAAAATACACATCATAAATTATCCATAACTAGTTATCAGCTGTGATTTTACTACTAACAACTTTACACTTCCATTTTAAATGCCAGCCTAAAAGTCCTTCATAAGAGATGATGCTCATGATCACATTCCACCCTCAGATTTGAGGCCGAGATGAACCGAATCACAAGGTAAGAGATACGCCCAGGCTCGTTACTATGCCCGAGGAAATCCAACGGCCTCCATGCCCGCACCCCGGACAGCACTCACAGCAGGCAGCACCTTCACTCGAGAGACCGAGCGTCACCCGAAGGATCGGCCGAGGAGGTACCTGACGGGGAGCACTTCGTCTCCGCGCAGCCACGTGAAGGTGGGATGGGGGTATCCGGAAACGCAGCACTCCAGGACGGCGTCCTTCCCCTCCACGGCCACCACGTTCGACGGTCGCTGAAGGAAAACCTGTTGCCTGTGCAAACCCGGATCTACGAGAGGCAAAGAGAGACAGTTGTTATCTAAAAATCAATCAAACAAGCAAGACCCTCGCGCTCTTTTTGTTGGATTTAGGGGATACAAAACTGCTGACCAATAACGCACCCAAGAGACTGCAGCTTTCACAGATACCTGCTGATGGGAAAAATATAAAATCATAGTAGAGAGACATAAAAAGTGTATCAAGTGACAATCTTGCAGAGCTGCTTATGGGCTGAACCCGAGGGAGCAATTGCAAGGCAGAACACCCACCATCTTTCTGGAAGGTGAGAAAGGAGCGTTTATATGCTGGTAGAAAAATTAGGTCTTGGAAAGCCACAGGAAAAGGTACAGTCATAGCAGGAAAAGACAAAGAGATATATATGTAAGGTTAAGAGAGGCACTGGATTAATGATACTGTTTTGTAGCTGGAAGAGGGAAGTTCATAAACATGAAAGGTGAGAGGGAAAAAACCTCCAAGTAAGGTCAAGGAAAACAAAGAATATGAAGAATGAAATAGCTCAGAGAAATTAAATTGAAAAGGAATAGGGAGAGAGATGAATGCCCCAAATTCTCCGTTGCCTTCAAAGAGGGTCATCCTCTTTTGGCATTGCACATATTATAAAATAACATTAAGTAGTCTAATTAAGGACCATTTCGGTTGCAGGGAGCAGGATCTAGTTACGGCACGCTCGCAAGCTGCTTTCCCCCACAGATGGCAGGTGCCATCCAAGACACTCTCGTGCCTCCGACTCGCCTCCCATCAGCTCCGTCACATCTTCCAGCCCACACAGGTACCTCGTAGAGGTATGGGTGGCTCTACGCACCTATACGTGGACAGTCCAGCTGAGTGCAGGGCGCCTACGCAGGAAAGGGCTAAAGCGCTCTGAGCTCCACGGCCACCATCCCCACCAAGGACGGGCGTGTGGCCCCCAAACGTTCAGGGACGATCTAGACTTCAGCGCCACCCGCTGCAGTAGAAACCCCAGCGAACAGAAATAAGGGAACGTGTGATACAGCAAGGAAATCAGTTGGTTTTGTTTGCTTTTTAATGAGCCTGTTCGTTCTCTAGTTAAAATTATTTTCCTTACTGCATACATCGACACTAATGTACTGGGCTACAGGCATTAAGCATTAATCCTTGTCTCCCGACACAAACATATACATGGCACACTATAAGTGAATATTCCTACCAAAATTCACAACTGCTTAAGACCTTCCAAGATCATTTCCACACTAATCAGCTCGTCTCCCACACGCAGAGACAAACTGCGCCTACCTAGGTGCATTTGTTGTAGCTTTGCAACAGCAGCATATTACAGCTTCTTACTGCAACTAGACATACACGCAATTTCCAGCCATCCGGTACTGCAACTTACGCAGAAGCTGTCACACAAAATTCAATGGCTAGTATTACCTAGGAAGTCATCTTAGCCGTTCATGGTGAGCTATATAATTTCTCTTAATACAAACTAGTACATCTATTATTACTTTAGTATATACAATTAAGTATAAGGTAGCTATCAAAGCAAAAAACCAAAGTATTTTTCCTTTTCCTAAAGTCAGCTGCCCAAAGATGAAAACAAATATGAAAAAGCAGAACGTATATCAACAAAAACCGTAAACAGCAGCAAAATCTTAATGGAGGAGTGACTCCTTCCCTTCAAAAGCACTCAGTTCTGAAATTGCAAAAGTCTCCTTTGATTAAAATAATGACCCTAGTCAGCGTGGAAGATGTGAGCAGCAATACCAAGCATAGCAATAAAAAACAGGCAAGATGATAGCAACGAGGATTAAATTTAGAGTTAGAAAAGGACACAATTGATCACTGAAGGCTTTAACAGAATCCACGGCTGAACGAGTTATTCCGACACATGGGGAATAAATGGGATTCCAGAGGTGGTACAGGCTGGGCATCAGACAAAGCCCCAAAACCCCCAAACATGCAAAAATAGTTTAATATGCATTTCTATTGTATACCTTGAAAAAAGCAGGATAACACCTCCTTGCTTTTAGAGTGATGTGAAATACTTTTTCATTGTATTGGCAGCTAGAAGCAGTGCTAATGAGATCGCTAGTCTCTCAACTCCTCCCATGAAACAGTTTTCGTTACAACGACCAAATATCTGAAGATCAAATTATTAACAAGAGCAAAGGAGAGCAATGGCATGCTATTCCATGCAAAAAGAAAAATATTTTTATTTTAGCTTTTTCTTCTCACCTGAAATTTGCCTGGTAAGATTTGGGATGCTCTTGAGAGGCATAGCTGAATGAAGAGCCCAATAAAAACAACGCCGCAGGTGTTAAGAGAGTCCAAGCCCCAAGGTAAACTAACAGGGCACCAACAGGAGAAACATCCTGCACATTGCAAAGAATGGAAGGAGAAAGTCACTGCCCAGCATCTGCCTGGGACTAAATTAATTTGGCCATAAGAACAGATGACTAAGGATGGACTAAAAGCTGGGCAAATATATATATATATATATATTCTTTTTAATTATTTGAGGATACCTTTATTATCCTAAAATTTTAACCTGGAATTTAATTGAAATTAATCTTTAATTAAATTGGTAACTTCGTAGCATACATTAAACTTCTAGAAATAAACTGCAAAAGGGAAAACTGAAAGTGGCTGCACAGAAACGTGCCCCTGCCTGGGTCCAGGGTCACGTGGGCTCCCACGGCCACTGCCAGCGCCTCGCACCGTTCAAAACTCAAACACCAGCCTAAAAGAATACCTCCTGTTACTTTCTGAGAAGAAAGTGAAGAAGAGCTGCGGGTTCAAACCCCACAAATATCAGAACAGCCTCGTTGTTCAGGCAAGTCCCCAGGAAGGGCCGACGCTGGCAAGAAGGTGGCCAGCAGCATGGAGGGTTTCCACCGCCGTCAGGCAGAGTTGAGGGTAGTCGCTGTTCCCAGGAGAAGTCAGCAGGCCACAGAAATCACAACCTTAGTCTGTCCTTCCGTCCAGACAGTAATGGCTATAATCACTTTTACTACTAGAGGAGGTCGGACAGTGTAACTAAACACATTTTAAGCATCAAGAAGCAAGATCAGAGCTTTCCTGGTATGTAGCACTGATCCGGTCGCGAGCACTTAGAATCAATCTGCAATCAGACTATTAAAGTCGATAGCCTCCAACTTCGTGCCATCTTACAGGAAAAAAGACCAAACAAACAAAAAACCCAGCAACCCCACCACTACCACCACCCACCCAGCTCCAGGGGCTGGCTCGGCGGCTCCTAGGAAGAGCAGTGTTAACTTACGCACGCAGCGCATCGGAGCTGAGTTGGTTGTATTCAGGGCCAACGCAATTCTGCGAGACACCCTATTGATTGCACAACCTCACTGTTCTGCTGTTTTGTTTAGCAATAATAGATGAGCAACCAAAATATTTTTTTTTAAAACTTATGAAAAATGCTTGCTATATTCAAACCTGCTCTGAAAACAGGTAGAAGAAAAAAGATGATGGAAGACTCATGCTCCACTAGTGAAAACCACAAGGTCTGGCCTACCCCAAGGCCACCGCGCTGGGCTGGCCATGCCGTTTCTCTCTGCAACGCTCAAGAAAAGTTGGACCCCCTCGAGCGCTCCCCGTCCCACCAAGTGGCCTGAGGGCACTGCCAGAGCCAGGACTCGAGGCCAGGGAAGCGTCGGGGTCAGGATGGGGGAGCAGGGACCAGTGACACCCTTTTCTCAGGGCACACATGCACCGTTTTCTTTCAAAGAACTGAAACCCGACTTCAACAGGACGGTCTCAAACGTTAAAGCAGGTCTTTGACCACAGGTCTGCAAAGGGCAGGTGGAAAGCCACCGAACTAGGGTGTCATACCAAAGGGGGTGCAGATGTATTTTAAAACTTGCATTCATCTTTGCACGCCACAGCCATAGCTTTTTATGCACAGTGATAACATGCAGCTGTGCTGGGGGCAGAACAAGATATTTGTGACGAACACGGTGACGTAGAGGCGTAGGGTCCTGGCCCGACGCTGCAAAGGGCAGGTGGAAAGCCACCGAACTAGGGTGTCATACCAAAGGGGGTGCAGATGTATTTTAAAACTTGCATTCATCTTTGCACGCCACAGCCATAGCTTTTTATGCACAGTGATAACATGCAGCTGTGCTGGGGGCAGAACAAGATATTTGTGACGAACACGGTGACGTAGAGGCGTAGGGTCCTGGCCCGACGCAGAGACTAGCATTACAACTTTTTCTGTAAATAAGTACTCTAACTGCACTGCTATATTCTATTTTCTGTGATAATTAGGTCTAGAGTAATGGTAATTCCTGAATTAGACTGTTAAGATTTTCATTATACTAACAATTCTCTTGGCTTGCTTTTTATAGATATAAAAAAAAAGCCAGGCGTTTCCTCTTTGCCCATAAATAAGATTTTGGGCATAATAAAAGGCTTAGAGCGCTACCGAACATCGCGGCTCCGCAGGGAGTCGGGTTAAGCATGCGCTAGGCAGAACAGCTAGATTAGGTCTTTCGCAGTCCTGTTTGGGGCTCATGTCCCCACCGGCCCTGCGCCAGAGACCCTGCTCAACTTGAGACATCCCTGAGCACACACAGGATGCAAAACAGACACAAAGGTAATTTCCAGGTCCAAAACAGAAGTGCTCTTTGGCAATACCAGCCCAGACCAGCCCTGCTTCTGCAATGAAGCAGACATCCAGCAGAATTATTTCTTTAAATCGTGTTTTTGGAATTAGCCTGAATAGTTTATTCAGATTCTTTTCTGGCATAGCAAAGAGGGATTCAGGAGCTAAGCAGCCTGCGTGGGGCCATATGAACTTTACTGTATTTCTTCAATTTCTTCTTCAAAAAAAACCACACCCCCCACTATCAAATGACATTTTCACATTATTTGGAGAGGTGGGAAAGATGAGCAAGTAGATTCTCAGACCAAAGGAGCATTAAATCTTATTTCTTGTCTAACACAGGCCACAGAATTACATTCACCCCAAGCCCAATACCATCGGTTTGGATGAAGCACACTCTTCAGGAAGGC